GTGGGAATAGAGGATCCAAATTCTGAGTTTTCTCTCATTGAGTTTCTTACTAATATTTGTTTGAGGGGAGGGATTTGGTCCTTATGAAATAAAAAGAGAATTCAGTTCACAGAATGCAAAATCTACCAGAAGCCCAGTATCTCCACCAGATCCTGGCTCGCTCTAACCCCTTAGCAGCAGAATATCAATGGAGCAATTCTGTTTACTGAACTACCCTCAGGAGGTTTCACAAAATGGAAAAGAAACCTTCAGAAGATAACACTAGTACAGTAGGCATTTATTTGTATTGATAATGTGCAGCCTGTCATAGCCAGCTTTCAAACCAGACTGAGAAGTTTCAGCATCCCTTGCATATCAGTGATTGCACTGGAGTGTGGACCTGTAAGGACAAGGTAGGTCAACATGGGGGGGGGGGCGGACTTGATGATCTGCTCAGGTCCCTTCTGACCCTACTAACTATGAAACTATGAAACATTTATGCTATTCTAAGCAGGTGTGCAATGTTTTCAATACTGTTTCATAGCCTGCAGCAAAATAGAATCAATGCTGAGTCAAGGGTACTGATATGTCAGGATCACGTTCTGTATGTAGAAAACATTCAGATGGTTTAAGTTTATGAAACAGCATTAGCTCATACACTGAAGACCAAATCCTAAAAATCTCAATAGCCATTTTGCCTTTTATTTAACACAGGGTTTTCAACCATTTTAAATAAGTGTATCTGCAGTGGCCCCCTTTTTAAGAAGTGTACCCCTGGGAGGGAGGGTGGCAAGCAGCCTGACATCGAGCCGGGGTGGGGGAGAAGGGAACAGGCAAGGTGGCTGGCAAGCAGCCAGACGTGAAGTGGGGGCATGGCAAGTGGCAGAGTGGTGCTCTCGCCCTGCCCTGGCTCTTCTCCTGTGAGGCAGCGGCACAGGGTGGCAGCAGTCCATCCCCACGTGCCCCCTGGGACCTTTCAAAGTAAAAGTACCCCCAGGGATACATGTACCCCTGGTTGACAACCCCTGTTTTAACAGAACCAGGATTCACCCTCAGTGAATGCGTCTGTGCTTCAAAAGGCAGCTGCTGATTTGGTCTCAAATCAAAGAGGCGTAATTGCCTGCATCACCCTCAGGAGGTTGCAATTTGCAGTGCTACAGTTCAACATCTACCAGTGCTTTCTCTATGGAGTGGGTAGGCATGGATATCAGAACATGCGTCACCTGTCTACTTTGAGATATACATGTGAGGAAGCTGATTTAGAGGTTTCAGGTTTGAGAAGTTTGCTCTTACCACTGACTGGCAGCTCTCAGAGAATTAAACCCTTCTGGTGAAGATGCGAATAGAAAACCTTGGAGCCTCTAAGAGTCTTGCTCTTTGTGATTTCCTGTTGCTAAGGAGCAGGATTAACCCACAAGTCTTTTGACATTATATGGACAGGCGCTTGAAGAAGTTTTGATAGGAACAGCTCATTTACTGTAGCAAAGTATATGAGAAAAGGGCTACAATGACTATGAAACAGATAGGGGGAATCCTTGAAATTTTCTTCCTGGTGTTCTTAGCCCTCAAGGCAAAGGGGTCAGTGAGGGCTCAACATACAAGGCTCCTTTTAAACAAGTTGTCTAAGAAATGTGTGCTTAAAATAAATAATCTTGTTCTTTCAAAGAGGCACTGTCAGCTTGAAACTAGTTTTTATCAATGACCAGGGTTAATGTTGTACATGCTACCAGACTCCCTGACAAGTACTATTGTCTTACAATCTCATTTTCCTATTTTAAAAAAATACTCTCTCCCAAGACCCAAATAGGGAAAATAACGGATTCACTTGAAGAAGCAGTGAAACTGACTGTAGGCAAGTATTGTCAAATGCACAAAATAAAGAAACTGGGGAAGGAGGAAAGAGAAGATTTTTCTCTTCTAATCTTTTTCTGTGATGATAATCTTATGTGTTACTTATAACAGTAACAAAAAAGTTAACAGGGTATTGGCAGCGCCCCTTTAAACATCCACAAAATCATTCAACTATCTAATGCATGGTTTCAGCTTTGTCTTGCTCAAGGGAGCCCTCAGAGGATAAAGAATCTTAAAATCCTGTGCAGTCCAGCAACCCCTGCCCTTGGCATTTAGACCCAGCATTCTTGCTCAACTTCACTCAGAGTGAGAAAAACCTTTGTAACAGATGCCACAGCATCCCAGAAACATTAGGCAGGCAGCACTGCAGTAGTTCACACATTCAGAGGGTTACTTTGCAACCAGAAGGGCTAGACAGATTGTTTTAAATGATAGTGTCCACTAAACTACTGTTGCCAGAAACCACTTCCCACCTCATGGTTAAGGAAACCAGGTTAAAAGAATGATTTTATTTCTACTAATATAATTGCTACTGATTATAACATATTTCTATCATGTTTTCAACTCCAGTGAGCATCGAAGCAGTTTCTGCATCATCTGCTCAACTCCTGAAAACAAGGATTTTCCCAGTGAATTTGATCCAGAGAGGTGCTGACCATCTGCGGATATTATTGACATCAACTGGATCTGCAGGTGCTCAGGACACACACCTTTCTGAGTTACACAAATATCGCCCGTGTAAACAAAGAGATTGAGCAATATATGGGTTATCTAACATACCTATTTGGGCAAAAGCCCATTGCCTGGGACACTAGTTTAAACTAGGTTTGACAAAAACAGTAAAAAAACCCAAAACCACACAGGAGAGGATAATTGCTGGGAGAAGAGTGGATTGGCAGTGGATTTTCAAGAGAACAGATGAGAGTTAGGTATCTGATTCCAACTGACTTGCAAGGGAAGGGAACTAACTGTACTTTTCATCTTTGAAAAATTACCAGCAGGTCCTTTTCAAAGACCTCCCCAGAAATGGCAAACTAAAATGTATTTTTTATTTCGTCTAGGAAAATAAGAAAACAAAACTGCCCATTTAAAAAAAGAAGGTGGAAATTGTCTCGGCATTAAAATAATCTGGTACAACTGGAGAGAGACACACTGTAACCATTTTTATCCACCAATTTTCAGTTTGAAAAGCCATTAATGATTCACATGTAATCCCCTAAATGTAATGCAGGAAAATAATTAGCAATCAAGGAATAATTATAGATAAAACTGTCTACCTGGTGATTTGGGAATGTGTCAGGTTCATCAAACCAGGACTCAGTCCTTATAAGCCTACCAAAATCGTGATTTTGCGGATTTCATGGAAATTGCAAAAGTGGGCAGTGTGCACAAAATCCATGAAATCTGAGGAAAAAAAAGAGAAAACTTACTGAAAATAAAATGCTGGCTCCCCAGAGGGAGCCAGCAGTCTTCATGGCACTGCAGCTGGACTGTGCAGCCCACCCAATACGGCTGCCTTGCCCACCCCTTGTATCTGATTGGCTGAAAAAGCTGCCTGTCATGAGGCCCTGCCCCTCCACTCCAATCAGGGCAATGGGCAAGTCCACATGATGGACAACCTTCACAACCAATCAGCAGTGAGGAGTGGGGCCATATGACTGGCACCTCTTGTATCCAATTAGCAGTAAAGTGTGGGGCCAGGGCCCCTTGGCCCTTGGCCAGAGGTGTTGGGGGGGCCCTGCCATGATCTACCCATGAATATTGCAGCATGCTCTTCCCACAAAATCAGCTGGCTGCTTCCTCAACTTAGACAGACCCCTACTTATAAGCCTTTCCCACCTAACTAAACATGACATGAGTAGTCATGTTCATTTTAATGGGATACCCATGCATATAAAGATGTTTGTGTTTGGCAGGATAGGCCCCAGATGATAAAAGTCCATCCACTTATACATTTTAAATGTAATGCATTTTATGATTTACAAAAATATACGGGAATCTTAAAAGGATGTGTCAGCTTAACACACATCTGTCTAAACATTTTTACCAACTATAATTACAAGATTACTATATCCAGAAGAGGGTAGAAATGGGGAAAAAACCCCACACCTCTTTTTGGCATGTCTGCCCTGTTCAATTGTTAGTACTTTGTGCTAAGGCCGTTTCACTGCCCAGTTAGGGAGTTCCCCTATAGTCTGAACAGGTGCTCCACACACAGCAGTTTACATGAACAAATTTAGAGAAAATAACACATTAAAAAAAAAAGTTACGTATTTTCAGGTGCTTTGTCAATGACTAGATCAGAGGTTGGCAACATTTGGGGCAGAGTGCCAAAAACACCCACAACCTCAACTTCTAAGATGTTGATGTGTCGGGGGCAAACAGCAGGGGAGCCATGTGGGGCTTGATCCTTGATGCAGCTCAAGCCCCAGACTCTTCCCTGCCTGCCCTCAGCCCTGAAGTACGCATGCCAAGCAAAATGCCTTCATGTGCCATGCTCTGGCACCCATGCAAGGGGTTGCCTACTCCTGGACTAGATTATAAATTGATGGCAGCCCTTTAAATGCCTTAGAATTTTTCTAGACATTCAGTAAAAATTGTGTCACCCTCCCAAACCTAGTAACTACATTTACGCTTTGTATTCAAACCACAAACCAAACCCAGCAAGTATTAGAGATGGAAAAACATAAGTATACATCCTTCAATGGACTGCCAATAACACAGGAAAATCAGGCTTTATGATGCCAGGTAAATCCTATTTATCAAAGGGACATTCTCTTTATAAGAATTTCAATTATATATTGTTTAAAAAATGTGTTTGGTCTCTTATCTACAGCAACTGAAGATGCAATTTGTTCCAAAAGCCACAAGATTCAGCAGAGCTGTCATTTCATAAATTGCTATTTCTCTACTAAGTATAATAACCATGTAATGACTATGTAAATGTTTCCAAAGAACTCAGCAAAAACTGAACACATTAATATCAGAGGCTGGGAAAAAAATAAATTATTCAGAATGTAAGTGTTTGCTTTGTACATTTACAGTTAAAATATATAGGTAGATTATTTTCTTTATAAATGCACTTCTCTGGCATGGCATATGTCTGAACTTTCCATGGCATAGTAAATGCTTGCCATTCAAGGCAAAAACATAAAGTACTTTTCATTCACTTGACCCTTTGATCTTCTGTACAAAGAGGTGCTTTTCTGAAGTCTTTGTGTGGCACATTTAGATTGATGTTATCAGTGTAATCCTGATTAAAATCCAAGTTGAGAAATAATATTAGAACCTTCTACTTCTGATCCATTAATATATTACAAAATAGTCTATAAATTGTCTGTAATTGAGAACTCTCCCATGATCTAACGCATTTCCCCTCTCTGTCCAATACTACTGCTTAGTGTAGTTTAAAAACTTCTCTTGGTAACACTTCCGATTAGTTTCATAATCAGAGTGGAGTTACATCGCTTAAATCAGTCTAACTTGGATTCCTGCTCTGGCCTTCCTCAAGCCTGAATCAGTGCCCCTAGCTCAGCTAAATAGTGAGAGGGCAATGTGTATCCTCTGCCCTGGTTCTATTAAGAACTGGATCAATGTCAGCACAGGTTTAAAAAATGGCACTAAAAATCCCTAACTTTCACCTTTCCTCAGGAGCCTTTTCTTTAAGCATGTTTCTTACACTAGAGACTGATGAGCAGCTAGGTCTCTGCCTCCTGGGAAGCCCCCCATCCCACCGGCTGTATATTCTGAAGCTGGCCTTACAACTGTAGTGCAGAAATGTATTCCCTCTTATATCTATTGCAGAAATATTATTTCTGTTCTAGTGAAAGGAACTTCTCTGTCTGTTCTCTGGATGGTGTGAAGAGTTAGTATGGAGAAGGTACTCTTCCAAAAGTATCACTCCCAGAGGGCCCACCTAGGCTTATTTGCTGCAGGATTATCTAGTAACCCAGTCAGGGTGGAACATAGTGCAGCCTTCAGGTCTAGTCTCACATTACTCTAAGGGACCCTTCACAGAAAGACAGTGGAGAGTCAAAGGCTCAGTTCTGCAGGACACTGAGCCCATGTACTCAGTACACAGCATCTTTGAGTCCCACAAACTTTGGTGGGAGTTTAAACTTCCTGAAGAAGTGTGTACAGCACCTTGTGAAACTGGGTCCTCACTGCATTGATAGCCCAGAAAAAAAGAGAAGTAACATGACTAACCCACCAAAGTGTGAGTGTGCATTTGTCTCTGGAGCTTTCCTTCAGCACAGCAGACAGCCCCACTCTTTCCTTTACTCGGAGTGTCTTAGTTTACCATTGGCAGACAAGGTCTTCTATTAGACCAACTAAATAGTTGGAAAGATTGTTCTTTACAAGCTTTTGAGCACAAACACCCTTCTTCAGGCTGCTAGTGTTTGTGTGCTCTCCTGGGTATAATAGAAGCTTAAGCCAATATGCAAAATGCAGATCTGTGAAAATGCAAATGTGTGGCAGGGAAGATCAAAGGGGATGCGACTTAACAGGTGAGAGACAGGTGGGTAGGAGTGGGGAAGGAGGGAATGTTAACCTGGTGATAGGGTGTAGCTGGTAAAATGTAGAGAGGGTACCTGGGGTTATCAGATGGCAGACAGGTTTTAATGTGCCATAAATCTAATGTCTAGATTTAGTCCCGTATTTAGTAGATTTAGGAAGTGAAGTTTACCACTAGAGACTTATATCATCAACACTTTAGAGAAATGCCATTAAGTAATGTTTATATTTCTCCAGATTATGATAGCCGTTCCCAACATTACTTGAGACACCAATAACAGAATTGCTACATGAAATCAGAGATTTGCCTCTGCTTCTGACAAGTTCTAACTCTACAGCTCTACTGCAGACATTTTGTATGATCACAGGCAAATCACTCAACTCCTCTGTGTTTCAATGTCTACATCCTTTACCTACCACACAGGGCTGCTGTTAGTTCAAAAGTCATTAGGGTATAAATATAGAATTGTTTAAATTACATTCAAATCAGTGTTGTGACTCTTGATTCTTACTGTCTGAGAAGAGAATCTACCAACTAAAGGGACGTGAGCTTGAAATGAAGCCCATTAAAAACAATGAGTTAGAAAGTAGTTTTATGTCTTGTATCAGCCCCTCCATCCATTTGAAAAATCTAGGCACTTTACCATCACATTTTCTTATTTTAAAAAAATATCTCTCTCCTTTGTTGAGAAAATGACTGTTATTAACCATTTACGTCTGGTTTGAAAGTTACTCATTTGTCTTTGTTTCAATATGCTTGACTTCAGTGGGTCTCCTCATACTTTGTGGATGGTAAAAGTCCACCTCCATTCCAATTATATAGAGAAAGCAGTGAATCTGACTCTGTATTCAGCATTTTCAGATACACAAGGTAAAAAAAAAAAAAAACAGCCAGAAAGAAAAGGCTTTTTATAACAACTTTGTTTTTAATCAATAAGTAAAAATATTTAGAGACAGAGTATGATTTTCATGTTTGTGCAGTGCTTCATAACTCTCAGAAAGATGTTACAGATACATAAAGGTAAGTGTTTCGGGTTCGTGTAGTGAACAATACAGATCTATAACTTGAATACTTTTCTCTGTATTTATAGTTCTCTTTTGAACTTATGGAGAAAAAACAGTACAAATCAACATTCTAAAATGTTTCTTCTACTCATGTATCAGAAGTCAAGTAGGCAAGAATGACGTTCTGTGCCTCAGCCACTCTCACTGTTGCCAAAACCATCTTTGTTCTACACCCCCCACTGTGAGCCATGCACCAAAGAGAACTCAAACAGATTTGGTAATCTGGAGTGGGGCCCCCACGCCACTCCCACAGTCCTTGGGAATGCCACCACTGGTTTACAAGATCAGAACTTTGAAAGTCCATAGACTGCACCTGGAACGAGACAGGGAAGAGTTGCCTGGCCTCTGTGCATGGACAGCATATAAATTTGGGAAATGTTCTGCGCTTGTCACTCACGTGACCTAGTAGACGGTGAACTGATCCAAGACTCATGATACTTGGGTTCCATTTCAGGCTCTGCTAGTGGCTTACCAAGTGATCTCCGACAAATCACTTTACCTCTCTTGTGTTTTGGTCCCATCTATAAAACAGTTATAAGACTGACCTACGTTGTAGAGTGCTTCAAGTTATACTTGTGAGAAGTGCTACATAAAGCAACCCCTTCATGGCCAACCCAGCTCTACTTGCCATTGTGAAGACAGGCAGCAGAGCAGACAGTTTCCTCGATGGGCATGGGGGGAGAAATTCGAGTTGTTTGACCCCTAAGTGTGAGGCCCTCAGGCTTAAATGAAGGAGGCAGCAAGATACTTGACTATCCTAGAGCCCAAGAGAAGCTAATATCGGTGCACATGAGACATTAGTAGCACCAATGGGACTGTTATCCCCTAAAATTCCCCAAGGGTAGATGAGACTATAGAGAAGAAACCACCCTGCACCCTCCCACCCCTGCCAAGACCAGAGACAAGCTAGGCCACTTCTGATCACAGAGAGGTCTAGGATATTTCTTATGTTGGGCGGTGGAGGGAGAGGGGAAGAGGGGCACAGAAAGACAATCCTAGGACAGGGCAAGTCTTTTCAAACTATTTTATACCCTGTTCATATTTTAATCTGTAATTATTTCACCTCTTACATCTGATTCCTAAGAGGGTTTTGCCTTTGCACGTGGGTGTAGGACAGGGTCTCCTGCTGGAGAATTTGAAATGTGAGAGTGCAAGGATGAAAGAGATGGCAGGACAGCTGCCTGAGCCCTGCTCCCAAACGGGGAGCTCCCTCCCTTTGCCATCAGCCCATCTAGGGAACATTTTTTAAGCAGCCAATAGGAACAAGCCCCCCCCCCCCCAGGTTAAAAAGTTAAACGTAGATCGATTACGTCAAGCCAAGGCTGGGAGCAGCCTTTCTGTGACGTCACAACGCCCACAGGCGTGACGCTTCTAGGGTGACCGTTGCCGATTGCTGGGCGGACGCCGGCGGCGCTTGGCCAGGGGCAG